AATACTTCCATGATAAACTCCAGGTGTAGAATGGAGACGTATCGCTCAGTGAGATACTTTAAATAAATTAAGTGTGTCGTCCAACCGTCTTTTAAATACTGTTAGTTTCAGTGCAGAGACGACCGATTCTGGGACAGCATTCCACGGGTGACAGACACGAATGGAAAAGAAATTTCTGCGGCACTCCAGACGGCTATACTGTATAGCGAGTTTCAATGAGTGGCCCCTCAGGGTTGTTTTGGTGCTGAGTCGCAGTAAAGGGTGGCACACATGATGTGGGTCTTGCAGAATCAAGTATGCCATAATCATGTCGCCTCGTAGTCTTCGATAACTTCCACTGAACAATCCCAGTCGTTGCAGCCTCTCCTGGTAGGAAAGACGTCGTATTCCAATTACGTTCTTAGATGTCCGACGTTGTGGCTGCTCCAGTGCATTAAGGTCGTGTTTCAGCCATAGGCGCCAAGCTTAAATTGCGTATTCGACATGGGGCGAACATACGCACCGAGCATTTGTGGAAATATGGCGCTATATATTTGTTCAAACTCCCGTCACAACAGCCCGACGTGTTGGTTCCCAGTCTTCAAGGCCTTTTCGGATTGCCTGGAGCAACCCAAGTCATCTTGAACCAGGAGATCCAAGTCAAGTTCGACGGCTGGTTTTTGTAATATATTCGTTCCGAGCCGGTATGAGTAGCTGATCTGATGTCGGATGGAAAGCACCTTGCATTTACTGACGTTGAAACGCAGTAAGTTTTGGGTCGAGCATTGATACACCGTATCTAGGTCACTCTGAAGCACATGTTGGTCGGCGTTCGCCTGGGTCCTGCGCCATATCTTGATATCGTCGGCAAACATTAGAAAGTTTGAAGCGACTCCCAATGCAAGGTCATTAATAAACACCAAAAACAGACGTGGACCTAGAACTGAGCCTTGCGGTGCACCACACTCCACTTGTATGGGGTCCGATAAAGAGCACCGAACTCTGACCACTAATTGCCGTTGAAATAGAAAGTTGGCGATCTAGCTTAAAAGAGGGTCGCTGATCCTGCAATGCTGCAGCTTGGATAGTAGTATCCGATGGTCTAGACGATCGAAAGCCTTGGAAAAATTCAGGTAGACCACATCAACACCTTCTCCAGCCTCAGCTACCTCGGTCCAACTACTGCGTACAATTAGTAAATTCCTTGTACATGACCTATGTCGACGGAAACCGTGCTGCTCAGGAGTGATGATGTTGCAGTTTTCCAGATAGCACACCAGTGCATCGGCAACTATGGATTCCATGAGCTTGGAGAGTATAGGAAAAAGGGGTACTGGGCGGTAGTTGAAGGCATCAGTTCTTCTTCCACCTTTGTGAATCGGGGTTATTATTCCAAGCTTCCACATGGCGGGAACTTGGTTCTGGTCTAAGCAGCGCTGGAAAAACTGAGCTAAAGGTACCGCCAGTTGGCTTGCTGCTGCTTCCAATGCCTCTGGACGAATGGTGTTGACACCCGGCGAGCTGTGTTTGCATAGAGACGTCAGCTTTCGCAATACAGCTTCCGCGGTAAAAGTGATGTGGGTTAGTCCTGGCAATGAGAAGACAAAGCTTGGTAGATCGCTTGGTGGCAAGACCCTTCGAAACGTGGGAGCGTATTGCATCTGCAGCGTGTTTGCAGCTTCCATAGCCGTTCTTGTTAGGCCATCAGCCGTCCTGAGTGGACGAAATCCTGGCCTCAACTTTCGTAAGCTATTCACGTGCTTGTACAGCAGTTTGTGGTTAGCACTGAAGGTTCTTGTGATGTTCTGCTGATAGGCGGCTTTGTCTTCCCTTAACCGTTGAGTGCAGTGGTTACGTTGGGCTACGTAGTTGTCCTAAGTTCTTGATGCTGGAGCTTTTCTGTATACTAGCCATGCTGCGCTGCGTACTGTCATCTATTTTCGAGTTCTGCCCCTAACGTAAGAAACTGCTTTACACTTATAGCAAACTTTTATCTCTGAAGCTTCTGCAATCAGCTGACTGAATTTGTTGACGAACTCGAGCCAGGCGACTTCCGGGGCTTCTTCTTCGAGGAACGACCAAGTTGTGGCGCTGACGGGCTGGGCTAGTCGATCGTAGCTTGTGTTGGTTCGCAAAGTCTTATCGTTCTCATTCAGATACACTGTATAGCAGACGAAGTTGAAACTGTTCACGGCGTGATCACTGCGACCCAACGAGCAGTCTAAAACCGACAAATCAGTCAAATGCTCCTCGTTAGTAAACACAAGCTCCAGCACAGATGGCCTGTTACCTATTCTGAACCGAGTGGGCAAAGTGATGTGATTGTAAAGAGGAACACTGGTTACGAGATCTTGTAGATCAGCTTTGAACTAAACTAAACTGTGTACGTTGAAATCACCCATGATAAGAACGTGAGTGTGCTTTCGTTGTAAACTGCATCTTAAAGCAGCCGCTAGGTGGTAGTCGGTTTCGGGTGTTGAGTTAGGGGCGCGGTACACCAAGACAATAATGCAAACGTCCCTTCCTTTTAACTGCAACCCGCACCAAAAAGTCGGGGAACTGCGAGTCTGAATCGCCACGGCTTCGCACTGTAAGTCGTTTCGGTTATACAGGATTACCCCTCCTCCTTTTGTGAGCCTGTCGTTCCGGATCAGCGACATGCCCGGTAGCGAAACTTCAGCATCCGTCATTCCCGTGTGCAACCACGTCTCGGAGATATCAATGATATCATATGACCCGGAAGCTTGGTGATCTTTCCGTTCTTAACGTAAGTCCGTACCGTTCCTCTGGTTGCATAATCCCATCGCACGGCTCACCCTCGACCAAGTTGTACCACACTAGCGTTCCTGTATGTCTACGTGTGGGATCATATGTACCAGACCTACACAATCGGTGGCTGGACGGTAGTCCGATCCACTCGAGATGGAACCAAACTATGAGCCTAGCAAGGCCGCGTGGACTGTGCACCCCGTCCACCCTAGTAACGATTGACAATCTCCTGGAGCCTGCAATCGAGGTGGAAAGTGTTAGACAGGTCAGACTTTGTCAACGTTCTCATCAAGCACAGCCACACTGGGATTGTCAAACAACCAACCCATAATTTGAAAGGGAATAATCACTCATAATTGATATGAAATGTGAAGCAGTATAACAGAACTGTGTTAATCAGAGACAATTGTTGCATTTATGCATAATAAGACGATCCAGTTTTAGTGTCGCAGTGTAACTAAACTGCGGTGAGGAAGAGTGATGTATGCAACATCAATCTCAGCATGAGGCATGGTCACATACGCCGTCCATAATTGCCGGATCTGAACAAAGCATCATCAATGCTGAACAATTCATTAACAAACTGAGGGGTGTTCCGATAGAGGAAGATTAAAGCATGCTGTCGTTTGACATCACCGCACTCTTCACGTTGCTCGGTCACGAATTGCAATAAAAAATCATGATGGAATTACTCCGAAATCAACCGAACACAATAGGAAACCTCAAGCAGGAGAGCATATGATATTTCTTGGACCTCTGCATGACTACTTATTTTTACGTTGATGGGTAAATATACAAACAACTGAAGAGAATGCCCATGGGATCGCCCATCTCAGGACTTATTGCAGAAGCTGTGATGCAAAAACTGGAGAGTATCACAATACCGTTAATCAAACCAAAATTATAGATTCGGTACGTGGACGTTTGTCATCATCGAACGGCATTCCATACAAAATACCCATGAGCTAATCAACAACACATTCCAGGATATGAAGTTTACCACTGAACGTAAAAAGGTAACCAGTTGCCATTCTTAGATGTACAGGTCCACAGAAACACTGGCGGAATGCTTCAAATATTTATATGTCGAAAGAAGGCCCATACATACGAAATAGTAAACCACCACAGCAATCATCTACTAAATCACAAGAAAAGCTGCATTCAAAGCCTTGTCAGAAGGGCCGAAACACACTGCAGCACGACAGAATTGAGGAAGAAGGAAGAGAACCATGTATACCGGGTATTGCAAAACAACGGGTATCCAAGAAACTTCATCAGGAGAAGCCTAAAGAAGTGAGGGCTACAACAACAGCGGGAAAACGTAGATCAACGGGCAGCGCTTCCTAACATCAAGAGTTTGTCTGAACTAACGTCGAGATAACTACGACCACATGGAAGCTGGGTAGTCCACAAACCAACTGGTACTTTGGGAAGATTGCTTTCAAGACCGAATGACAAAATCAAACAAGGCAGCCAGCATGAGGTCATTTACAAAATTAACTGCAAAGAGTATGACAAACACAACGTTGGGCAAAGTGGAAGGAAACTTTCAACACGGATCAACGAACGCATAATGGCCATATGGAGACACGATCCACATTCACTGGTTTCCATGCATGAAGACCAAGAAGGCCACCACTTCGACCTAGAGAAGGTAAAGATCCTAGCCCGTGGAAATTCGAGGCAAGCTAGAGAGTTCTTGGAAGCGTGGTATTCTACAGACAATTCAATAAACCGACGCGTTGAAATAGGTGTTGTATATACAGCACTACAGATGAAAGAGCACTGAATTAGTGGACCAAATCTAACGGAACAGAACGCTGGACAAATGCGTCAAAGATTGACGAAAACCGAAGTGGCACGCGCGCGTACGCTATGAGGCAAGAATCTGAGATCGATTTCCATGGTCATGTGCCCGTCGAACGATCCGAACTCTACTGACGCTAGAAGATCGATCACTATCAATCACTGACGCTTCGTACCGCGCCGCTCTGCTACATAAACGTGCACTGACGACGTCAGCTCGGGTGGTGACGAAAGGTTTGCAGCTAAACTACCGAGCTCAGCGAACACTCGGACCACCAACTGAACAACCTGAGATAACAACATTTGCTTCTATACCACAAGCCCCTACACGTACACCAATAAATCCCATTTGCAACTGATTGACTTACAAAGAGTATGGCGATTCCCGATCTTTCGAGGAAATTACCATTACGTTCATAAGTATGCACTGGTAGTGTATTTCACATATGACTGATACAAGTCCCCAAGGTTAGTGCTCCAGTTGCTTCTGTAAAGACATTCCGTTGTATTTCGCTTTGATAGACACAGTTCTTGTGAAAAGATTTTCCAGCAAACACCAGAAGAACAAACAAGTCATTGGACTTCCGCTGATTTTGGCGGTCGGTGCAATTTCACACATACGTTATGCGGCAACCAATGTCATTGACTCAGGTCACCATAAAGACATCACCGTACACACGTTTGTACAGATCATCATGGCCAACGCTGCGGCTCTCGATTCGCACCTTATGTCAATAGCAATCAGATTAAAAAGCGCTTAAGCTAACAAAGTAGGGTCCAGGGTTCCGGTTTTTTATGGGAGGCGGAATAGCATAGGTTGCACCGGATATGCCAACACCTCTTTCGGGTTCTTGTGCAGAAACGAGTGGTAAGTTGGTGAATGTTGGTTAAGATCTAAAGGATAACACCGTGGCAGAAATTTTGACAAGAGCACGCCATTTGCTATTACCCACCTAAGGTACCTGCTGTGAGTGGGATCCATGGTTAGCGAGTGCACCAATTTGCAATGTCGATTTCCAAGTAGGCCACCACCGTAGTGTTCATAATTAAATGTTTTATGGTCAGGCCCAGATTTATTGGATGACTGATCAATGGCATTCCCACTGTATATGGTAATGAAATAATGATTTATCATCATGTACATCTCCAAACGTGCGGCATTCGTTTCAGGAGAGAAGGACAGAATGGACCACGGTCGGACGCACACTTTTCGTTTCTAGTGGAGTTGTGAAGTGGCACATTATACAAGCGAGTTGTGTGAACGGAGTAGGCAAAATGGTTGGAAAATGTGCGCCGTTGTTTCCGAAAATGTACAGCACTTATGAGCATAAGCCTATATGTAAGTATCACGAAGGGAATGGTCGTCGACTGTGCAGTGAAAAGAGCACTTCGGTGGATGCGCATTGCGGCTTGACTGTTTGCCATTGAATTTCTGATCTGAACATGACTACAGTTGTTGTGCGGCTGTGGTTGGGCCGGAAACTGGAAACAACAGAAAATTTGTATCCATTAAGCGCGGTGACCAACATGTTTAATACAACGCATCAGTCAGTCGCAAATAAAATCCACCCTGGCGCACTTCAACTCCCGATAAATGGCAAGCACAAGTGAAAACTTCTTATACTGATCCAGGACAGTTGGTTTAAAATAAAAAATCCAAATATAGCACTTGTAAATACCATGCAAATTCAGCGCCAAAACAAATCTCCTGTTGACTTGCTCCATGTTGTGTTTTATAGTGCATTATGTACCTAAGCGAGCTGAGCAGCTTTCTTGTATGACTGTTGACTAGGCTTGTTTGGGTTAAAAACAGGTGCACTTTATCACTCTGCACGCGTCCGAGACTGAAAGCTGCACTACTCGGTGCTTGCACACACCCGCTTTCCCCGCAGCTAGGCTCTGGTAAGTGTGCCCGTTTTAGTCACCTGTGTCTACGAAAACGCACAATAAACCTTCCCCTACTTACCCTGTTTACGTATTGGGGTAGTTGGTGTGCCTGCCTGTGAATAATCGCGACACGACGAACTCGTTATCCAGCCGTACAATAAGATGGTTGGGCAGTCAGAGTCAAGCAATCATTAATACCACAGGAATGGAGGACTTGCTGGCGACATTTATGGATAGATTTGTCTTCTACCAACCCAGATATTTAATTGTCTATTCGCCTAAGTTGACGTTGTAACTTCAGCTGGTGACGAAACGCCTGAACTCAAACACCCCAGCTCACGAACACAGCAATAACAAAAGTGCCAATGCAATCCACCACTATTTCGAGTACTTTCAAGCATGTGGAAGGCGATGCATTGCATATCTCGACGTAATCCTCTTCGTAGCATACACGCAGTGCCCACTCTTCTAAGCAAAGTTATTTTAAACTGAGGAAACAGCTTAGAGAAGCTCAGTTGCTTGGCTGATACACATCGGTGTGAAGTTCCACATGAATGTTTCTAATGCGCCATAGTTTACAGCACGGCACTCTTGTTCCTTTTAAAATGTTTAAAGTTTCAACCTTAGAAGGATTTTGTTTTACTCTACTGATCTTCACTAGGTCACCCGTTGTAGCTGACATTCATTAGTTTGCTTCTTACCTGGAAAGCATTAAAATACCAAATAGTTCACATTGTGGTTTGTTCCACTTATCTAATCAGTTAGCCCTGTTTCAGTGAAGCTCCTCAACGTACCATCTGATTACGGCTTGATCTCTAAACATTGTTAAGAACCACATTAGGCTTTACGCTAGTTCCTAGGTGCAATATGATTTTGGAAAGGTAGTTACCGTTTATATCCCGATCGATATTGCATGGATCGGACCGTCGATGGTCTTGACTGAATGCTAGCCCAAATGCGCATTGGCACATCTGTTCACACTTTCTACGGTCAATGTGAGTAACTAAACTCATCCACTAGGAATCTTTCTACTGAGCCATGGAATTTCGAGCATAGTGCTGGTAGATGCATCAGCAACCGAGGCGATACGCGTCAGTGTTCGCGAGCAGGAAGCACCCTTCTGTGTGTGGTAACAGCGAAGTACGAATTTAGCTGGCGACCCTAAATGCTGTCGATAGGTAAAGTGGTAAACTCCGACCACTTCTCCCACCGTTGCTTTTCTGTTGCTCTATATTTTTAGGTCTACAGGAAACTGAAGTTCCAGAAACCAATACCCAAAGGAACCAATACGAAAACGTCCGAGTTTTGTCATCGTGCAAGACGTGTAGTTACAAAGCCGATACGCAAGTCATTACGAGCGAACGGATTCCGTATGGAAACGACATGTTTCAACAAGCTGCGCACTCAACTTTTCTGCTAACTGGGATATTGTTAACTTCGCTTTCTTTATAGATCTATAAACTTAAGTCTCCATTTCACCATGCGCACCTCCAGACTGCATCTTTTTGCAGTGTGTCGGTTTTAAGCAGTTGCAAACGATCTGTTTGTCCGACTACCGCCGAGACACTTTCTTTGGACATTGTCTGATCACTGAGTAAATCAGAAATCTAAGAGAACATTCCGTTTTATTCCTATCTGCAGAACGATTCACAAATGACTATGATCGCTGTTGTCTTCCATAAGGTTGTACTAGGTAAGGACAACCCCAGAGCGGTGAGATCATAGCCCACAGACGTCTTGCCCACCTGGGACGTACGTTTGGCTGCACACAATTGGTTGTCTTTGTGGTTGCCAAGTTCACATGGATCTGTGTTCCAGTTGAGGTACGCTGACCGCAGGCCACCAACTTGGAACGGGACGGTGGACGATGTATTCCACTTGTATTTGGTAACGATGAGGTTATTTGTTTCAGTGGCGTACCGTTGAGAATATTCACAGCTTGAAAGAGGCTCCCTGATCACCTAATGTTCAAATGGCCTTATGCTAAAGCCTGAAGAGAAAAGGGACATTAAAGCAGGTCAAATAGATCTCAGCAGAAAGCTACTTTCGCTGGTTTCCGTGTACTGTAGAACCACTGCATGGAGTAAACCCAATGCAGTCTAAATGCTCATAACACCAAATCATTTGCACTTACCTTGAAACCCCCTGGGCAGCCGCAGTTACCAGAGTGTGCTATGGGACCCGAAGTTAAACACCCGCTTTTCGCTTTTGCTTCTAAGGTATGAAGGAAATCAATAAAATCGTTATGGCTCATCTGAAAAAGTAGCTGAGGAGAAACAAAAACTGAGCTTTACAAGGCAATTATGCTTTCAGTGGCTCATCACTATACCAATGCTCCAGGAACGGTGAGATAAAGGAGAATAGAATGCAATAGAATGTAACAGAAACAGTGGATCAATGAATCTACCTTTCCAATAGGAAAGATCGTGTATTTAAGCAACTCAAGATCAAGTTCGAAGAATGCTAAGACCGCTGTCATCTTACGAAGCTGCCCACAGTCAGTGTAGAAGAAGGAATTGGACTAATTTCGTTTATCCGTATAGAAATCACCTCTGCTGTCGCTGGCAACTTGCAACGCGAAACTCATGTGTGGTGTCCGGATATCTCATAGCTAAGCTTAAAAGCCTCCTGTGGGTTTAGTTGTTGATTCGAATACACTAGATACAACGACGTTGCCTTGTCATCTCAATCGTCAAACTAAAGAGAGCCAATTAAGGAGCTCCTCTAGTTCTCGAGTGGTTGTAATTTAGCTTTCCACGCACAGCTTGCCTGCAGCGGAAATGTGAAAGTTTACAACCAAACTGCAGTTTTTAACTGCGGCATTCTGTCCTTGAGTCGCTGGACCCCGACTTGTTTTGATGTTTAGCCGTCAACATAGCTACTGATAATCTCCTGACTTCAAAACTTTTAAATCAAACCACACCTAATTGCAGTAAATGGTACCATATTTGTGTCCTAAGGCAGATGGGATAATTGTCGACTCTTGTAAGTGCACTAGAAGCCCTAAGGTCAAATGAGTGTTGTGACAAGTTTCGCGCTTGTTTGCAGCTGTCCGGTATAAATCACAGAATGCGACTCGAACCTATGATACCTTCGTCCCTGCGCCACAGAGCTTCCGACAGGCATCATTAAAACCGTCAACTCGATCTCCGCTAATAGGCATTTACTGAGTGCTTCTGCTTGCAACAGCAATCGTTGTCATGACCTCGGGTGCTGGATAGCTGAAAGGTCACTGATTCTGATGGGGTTCAGAGCGACAATTCATTCGGCACTGAGCACCATACAATGTAAGAATAGTTTTATACAGGTTAAAAGGTTACCTTTTAACAAGTCACGTAAGATGGTTATAGTGGGCATGTAAAATATAGAAAAGTGTCAACAAAAGTAGGTTCATATCGCTGGAATGGCAGCGTTATAATTATCATAGACGGAAAATCCATAAGGAATGCCGATAAATTGGATGCTGATAAACATTGTGTCCACTCCTGGTGAACACATGCAGGAGGTGAAGCGGTAAACTGTATTCTGGTAGCTGACCATCTGTAAACTCCCTAACAGTCACTCGTGTTCAGTCATGGGCAATGAGTCGTATGACATCTTGCAGTGAAATGAGTGCACGATCAACTCGAGCTTTGAACTCCGCGAGCGCGGAGGCACAAATGATAGATTCCGGTAGGATATTCCACGTTTGGCAAAGGCGTAATGAAAAGAAGTTCCGATGACATTCCAAACGATTGCATTGCTCTGCTAGATTGAGGGCTTGGCCCCTCAGTTTCCTGTTGTGACTGAGCTCTCGCAAACGGCCGCACGGCTGGTTAAGACCTCTCAACATCTGACAAGTTAGAATAAGATATCCACGCAATCGGCGGTATTGTCCGCTGAGGACCCCAAGCACTGGAAGCCTTTGTACATACTGCAAATCATGCAAACCTTTAACATACTTGGTAGCCCGGAGTTGGGTATCTCCAAGGCGGTGAGATCGCTCCTCAACTATGGCTGCCTGACCTCTATTGCATTTATCACGTGCGTACGTATCTTACAGCAGGGAAGCTGTTGAAAAATCGACGGGTCCAGTTGTCTGAACGCACGCGCCAGAAGGCTTAATTGTTGGATGCTCTTTCCTGACGCCTTTTCAGCCTGCGTCGAATATCCAATGTCGGACTGGATCAAAACGCATAGATCCCTTTCACCAAATGACGTTTGAAAATCCTGCTTGCCGAGTTTGTAGGGGCAGATCAGCGTTTGCCCTGAGTGAGACACTCTACATTTATCCACCTTAAACCGAAGTAGATCCTTGATTTACCACGTGCAAACCCTATCCAGATCGCCTTGAAGTACTGTGATATCAGCTAGAGTATAGATCGCCCTCCACACCTTAATGCCATCGGCATAAAGCATGCATTTCGAGCTCTGGAGACTGTGATGTCGTCGATATACATCAAAAACACTCGTGGTCATAGTGCCGATCACTGTGGTACACCGCGTTCAAATTAGATGGGATCTGATAGTGATTCACGCAATCTCACCTCCAAGTGCCCGTGTGGGGAAGAGCTTCTGATCCACACTAGGAGAGGATCACCAACTCCAAAAGTCTGAAGTTTAAAGAGCAAATTACCATGGATTGATCGGTCGAATGTCTTTGAGAGGTCAAGAAAAACTACATCAACTCCGGTACCAGTGTCTAATGCTTCGGTCCAGCTGCATCGTGCTAACAATGGATTTGTAGTGCACGATCGATTCTGTCGGAAGACAGGCTGTTCTGATGCAATGTTGCTAAATGGCTCCAAGCAGGGCGTTGGCGCACCAGAAATACTGGCTTCCATGACCTTTGAAAGTACTGGTAGTAGGATTACAGAACGGTAGTTGGCTGAATCGGAACGACTACCACCCTCGTGACTTGGAGCAATCCTCACGTGTTTCCGCAATTTGGGTACGTACATCTGGTCAAAATAGTGTTAGCGGAATCAAACCAAAGGCTCAGCTAAGCCTTCTCCTACCACCGCAAGTGACTTCGAGTGAATAATATCAACGCCAGGAGAGTTATAGTTACGCCTACGCAACAGCTTTTTTAGTACCTTTTCGGCCGTGAAGCTTTTGTGAGACCATACTTACCATAGGATTAAGTGGCCACTGATCGCTTTGAAATGTTACAGCAAATTGCAGGCACAGGGTATTCAACTCATCCTTCGAGGCCCACGTCAGTTTCTGCGCTGTTTGAAGAGCGGAATTCCCCGTGTCATTTACAACCATTT